ACCCTTTCTAGCAAGTCGCATTCAAATTTCGAACGAGGATAGTTAATTGGAAGGCCATACTCCAGTATCAGGCGAACATGTGATGTGCAGAATATTATGAAAATCGCTGGAGTGATACGGGTGTATGCACTGCGTAAAGCACTCGGTTTCATGTTTGCTGTCACGACATACCTCAGGATGTCCTGTAATGTTCTAACTTCAGGTGACACGAGAACCCACAGCTCCTTCTCATGAGTGACATTCTTGAGGACACCAGCAAATGTGGCATGACAGTTACGAATCCAGTTTACCAATATGGAGAACGACACATTTGTTGCGGTTTACAGGGAATTGCTATTTGATGGACCAGTCCTGAAGCCAGTCTAGGGCCGTTGGTAGTCTGTCTGGGCTCTCAAGATTAGATACTTCTGACAATATCTTGAGATCATTAGCATGAACTAAGCAGTAGGCTTGAAGCGCTGCAGAATGGTCATTACTGTAGAGCTTGAAAAGTTTTGGCCTGACTACAGAGTCTTGTGGGACGTTGCAAGTAATAGACACAGGGTTAGATAGATTATGGTTCACCTATACTCGAAGAGTCCGATCTCTCCTGAAGTCCATAATCCATGAAAGTACATTTCCAGTGGTACATATTCCCTGGCGTTTAAGTAAAACTCGTTCGTGTCGGACTTTGTCGAATGCCTTGCTAAAACCAATATAGACAACATCCGTCTCCGGTCGTCCAATGTTTTAATCCTTGCTTGTCTAGCAACGAGCAGAATATAGTTGCAAGAGTGTGCCCTGTGGAATCCATGCTGAACGGAGGAGTTAGCATACAGGCTTTCGCAGTGAAAGTTGAAGGCACGTTGGACGATTGTTTCCATGATTTTGCAGACTACAGACGTCAGGCATATCCGCCGATAGTTTGCAGGATGGTACCAGTTCCCTCATTTGTATTTGGGCATTTCTATCTCTACATTCTAGTCAAATGGTAAGTGACCGTCTGCAAGCAAGTGCCGGAAGGCTTGGTACATTGGATCGGCAATGTATTCGGCTGCTATCTGGGGAAATAACGGGGGAAGTCCATTAAAACCCGGCGCGGAGTTCTGCTTCAGTTCGAGGAGGAGTTACTTCACTATTTCGGAATTGATTTCGACATTTTCGGGAGTAGGATAATGCGTTGGAAGATGGTTAGCGGGTAACGACGATTCAACGAAGTAGTTTGAGGAGTACTGAGAAGCCAGTTGGTGAGCCTTCCTGTTATCTTCGTAAAGCATTATCTCGTGGGAAAATAGAGCAGGAATACTAGTGCCTGCCCTAGTTTTTCGTTTTAAGTAGGAAAAAAGTTTCTTCGGGCAGGCTCGTGGGTGCATTACCACGCTGTTTTCCTATTATTCCAATTTCTGACTCTTTTTTGGAGTACACAGGTTTCTGATCACCTTAAACTTCAAGTAGTCCGAAGTTACTTATGTTGACTTGAATACATCCCACTTGGTTGTCACCTCATTTCAGATAATCTATTTGTGCCTGTGTGATGAGCGCTTCTGTCATCTTTGAGAATAACGACAGGTGGAACACTGAGTAAATGTTAGCAAGTTCTGGGAAGCTAGCAAACTAAAAAATAAAGCAATTGTACCGTGCTTACGCACCGTCTTAACCTCTTGTTCATCTAAGAATCATTGACAGTATCGTGATAACGCCTCGGCTAGTCTTGCGGTGTACACTACCACCGCCTTCGTGTGTATGTCGTCACACACCATCAGAGCTCCAGGTCTGCCATTACATTGGTTTCTTTGATACTGTAACCGAACTACAAGTGGTGCTTGTGAATCCTGTCGTTGGGGTGGTAGTAAGCTTAGATATGTGACATAAGTTGACGGTAGATCAAAATGTTTGGGTAATTTACAATTGTATGTGGCTTTATGCCCTTCCACCTGCTAATATTCTGTGCAATGTTTCCAGCAGGCTGTTGTACATGCGCGTACACTAGTCGGAGATTTGTACAAAGCATTATTGTTAATCAGTGCTATTGTATTAATTTTCCCAAAGTACAATCGCGGTATAGTAAGTAGCAAGTGGTTGCCACTGGTTTTTAGACTTGATTTGGCGCTGCACTTAGTCCACGCTACATATTATACTGAAACTCATTTCCGTGTTCTGCACCTGGTGATTGATATCGGATGTGAACAGATTGCTGAGCTTGTCCAAAAAATCCAGTTAGGTGTTAACAATGAAACCAAGAACCTAAAACACCTAGGTAGCATTTTCAACTATTTCTCTAAGTTGTAGGCAACACATCAGTGTGACCTTGGACATTCGGTATGATACATACAGTAATAAGGTACGTTGCGTAATCTCTTAGCCCTCTGTACTCTTCGCCAATGGCCTGTTGATCATGAGCCCAAGAAGCGCTAAACCATATTTCTGATGACATTTCTGCCGCCTTGAACCCAGTGTGAGAGCTGCCATGGTTATACAGCGAGGCGCTTGCAATAAACCCTTACAAGTGGGCCCATAACGACTCACCCGGAATGCCAGAAATTCCAATGTATGTAAATTGTTGCCTGGTGTCAAAGATGTGTGCCTGCTTGAAGTTCGGTCACAGAGCTTTTATGAAGGTGTATTTCGGGCGAGAATCCAAAAAGCCAGTATTTCAAGGGGAACGATAAATGACTTCTACCAAGTAAGTGTTGTCGTGCTTTAAATGCAGACAGTACTAGAGTGAGTTTGTCACCCAATTCCATGGATCATCCCTGGCTTATACTGTGGACAGCCGTAAGAAGTGATTAGCTCGCACTTCTTGATACTCCGATCATTTGGAACAACAGGCGTTAACTATAACGTGATGTCTGTGTCCATAATTTCCGGGTGCGACCAAGACTAGGTTACAGAGCTGAGCCCGCGAGCGTGCAGACAAGGCTTTGCGTATTGGTGTTTGTGTAGAAAAGTTTCATTTTTCTCAATGTCGATTCGGAGATAAGTGTGCTTTGTGTGCACCGATGGTTCACACATTGTGGAGTGCAAGACACTCATGTGGTTAGCAACCATTTAAACCTATTAGTTGTAAGTGTCTCAGCTCCCGTTTGGCTCTTGAACATGTCATATTACAAACGGGAGACCACGGAACAGCTACTTACTGTCCATACGAGGATTGTGCAAACAGAAATCGAACTCTTGAATTAGCGCGGCAACCGGCAATAGGAGTGCGCTGTGGCTATTAAGCTCATGTGGTGGCTTACTTAGGCAACAAAATGTCATCTTGCGCATTTCACTGCGATTGATGCTTGGGGAGCTAAAGCCTCTGAAGTGAGTACGTGCCCAAGCAGTTCGTCGGATTAGCGCCAAACAGACAATAAAAGAGCTGGAAGAACAACGCGTATGTGTGCAAGTTTGTTACAAGCTTGGCAAAACTTTTGCAGAGACATTTCAAAGGCTTAGTTAAGCGTACGGGGAGGACTGTATGAGTCATATGCAGTGGTATCAGTGGTTTGAGTGACTTGAACACGGTAGAATGACGATCGGTAACGATTCCAAGCCTAGACGTCCTTGCATATCGACTTACAAGGACTATATCGAAAGAGTTATTACTGTGGTCTGTGGAAATCATCGTTTAAGTCTTCAAGAACTTGCTGACGAATTGGGCATCAGACTTGCGCGTTTGAGAGATGCTGTGCCCACGAAGTGGTCTGAACAATAGGAAAGCCAGATTTGGATATCGCACCATGACAATGCGTCGCCTCACGCATTACTCCTTGTCCGAAGCTATCTCGCAAAACATCGCAATCCCGTTGTGCTCCATCCACTGCATTCTCCGGACCTAGCCCCTGTAAATTTTCTCCTGTTTCCCAAACATAAAACTACGTTGAAAGAACGTCGTTTACAAACCATAGCGGAGATTCAGGACAATGCGATAAGAGACCTGAGCTCCTTCCCAGAAAGTGTTTTCTAGGAGGCGTTCCAAAAATGGAAGAGCCGTTGGGAACAGCGTATTGCTAGTGAACGGCAGTACTTTAAGTGGAAAAGTGCTTAAAATGTTGTGCAATGAGTGATAAAGGAGTTACAACCAAAGTTTTGTTTCTTTTTGATCATCCCTCGTACAGCGACTATTCAAACACGTTGGAGATCACTGGCCTAGCTGCCGGATATGTCATGTTGCCAAACCGGTACGCTGGAACAGCTAATGATGGTGCCTTAGAGACTGTTCAAAAAGTTAAGTCTGTGCGACAGGATGCATTGCTAAAACCATCGTCCCTGATATGGTATAAATAATGCGTTTATTTGTGATTCAGATGTATTCTTGATCGAAACTTAGATTGATTTTCTATGCATTCGAAGGCTTCGCAACAACGTCAAGCTGTGATATTTGACAATGCGTTGCACATGACTGTACACCGACCTTCGAGACGTAATTTCTTTGTGTGACCGGGTAGTGCATGGAAAAGGAGTAGACGAGGGCAAGCGATTAACATTTGAAGTGGTTTGAAACCTCTTCCTTGGAAGACGGCTTCAGCTGATGTCGGAAAATTCATGGGTTGGGGTTTTAAGTTAGATTACAATTGATTGGACGCACCTATTGACTTGTTAGATTGTAGACCTCAGCGCTTCACTTTTTCTCCAACCATGAGCTGATGCTTTGTTATATATCTATATGTTATGCATAGCGGAACAACGTTTGTAATGCTAATCACTTCTGATTAGCACGTACACTAAAGGATTGATAAATGAAAGTATGTGAACAGAATAATTCGTTTCAGGTTCCCGGCTGGGGTAGGGACAGGCTTAACATGACACAAAGTGTATTTTTGCTGCATTCGGAAAGATATTATCGAGCAAGTAACCCAATCCAGCGTCCACGGAGGTATACGCATTAACTACGTTTTAACTCATCAGCCACTTATCAACAAATTGGCAATAAGTTGTAGGACGTGCAACATGATGAAGCGTTTAAAAGTGACCGAGTTCTACTCAGATTTGATTAAGTGCGATAAAGTTGCAAGAATGTGTCACAAAAATTCACTTACTGCTGGGGTCACCAGGTACTCGCCTGTTTGTTGACAATTAAGGTGCGGAAAAACGTATCTTCCTTTGCCGTATACCTTAAAAAATAAAAGATTCAAATCGGTTACATGCCAATTTATATGAACCAACTAACTGCATGATGATCCATGATGTGATGGATATTTCGAAGACGGAAAACCCAGTGACGACTGTGTTGAACAATATAGCTGGTGTTAGAGATTCAAAAGTATCAGAACATAGTCAGTTAAACACAGTGACAGCTTTGGGATTATACAAGAGGAATTCGAGAGAAGAGTTTTCCAAGATAAGTCTTTTTATGCCAAATTTGTGGGGCCAGCGTACAAGATTGCGGGTAACGTGCTACGTTTGGGATAAGGCAGATTAAACATCTACGTTGTCTCTAGCACTCCAGAGAAATAACTTCGTCAAGCCATCCAAATTACGCAGTGGCATCTTTTATTCACGTGTCTATTAAAATTTTACCAACTGCACATTTGCTAAGCAACGGCAGTGTAGGGGAGCATTGCATTATGGTGGAAAATATCTCTTGGCCTCTTACTTGGGATCACGGTTCCCGAATTTTTTATATGACTATGCACTTGGCATTGTTCCGTACTAACCTCAGATGTTTTGATCATTTTATCTTTTCCAGTATATCCGCACTGGTACCCGTTCAACCGTCCATTTGCTTATCACCCATGGCTAGTTTACCCTTTCATATCCTTCACGTCTAATACGATATTTGGCCATGTTCGGTGTTCTTGTCGTTTGTGATAGATGTCTCATACACCAAACACCACGGCGTTATAAATAGAATAATGGAACAATAGTTTTATACGGGTAAAAAAAGCTATTGCTTAACAAGTCCTGTAAGATAGTTATGATGAAATTACAAAACAGAATATATTTGTTAGAGAAATTGGGTTTACACCGGTGAACGCTCTGAGGTATACGTAGTATAAACAGTAAACCCATAGGGGAATGACGACAAATGGAATGTTGGTAAATAAAATATTGTGTCTCCTCCTGATGTACATATACAGGACGTGAACAATGGGAACAAAATTTGGGATTCGACCGCTAGTGCAATTGCTTACAGACACCTGTGTTTATCCATGGATAATGAGTCATGTGCGATGGCGGAGTGAATCACCATTTCATCCAATTTTAACACAGCTTCCATCGCCACCAGGGTCAAACCACGTATCGTTCACGGCCGCCAATGTGATGAAAACACTAATATCATTGCGCGTGCACAGTTCACCTGGCGTGGAGGACATTAAACTGAAGACGTTGAAAGCAGGGGCCATGAACCTTGCCGAACCATTAGCTCGGTTCTTTCAACGTTGTCTCTACGAAATGCGCGTTCCCACAATGTGAAAACATGACTAGTCACTCCTATTTACAAAAGTAGGAATTGTGCGGAGCCCCGAACTACCGGCCAATCAATCTCCTCCCAGTGTTATCTAAACTAATGGAACGTATACTTGCAGAAGCGCTCGTGTGATATCTTGAGAGCAACAACATCCTAGTGTCACAGCAACACGGAATCCGCCGAAACCGACCCTGCACGACAACCTTGCTGCTAGCCTGAGAAAGCTGGACAGAGTCAGCCGATGCCACAGTGGGAGTTAAGGTTGTCTACCTGGACTTCTCGAAAGTGTTCGATTATTTGGACCACCGTATTTTCCCTCACAAGCTTCGAAGTTATGGAATCGGTGACCCTGTGCTCTGTTGGACCGGCAACTTCCTCCCATAACGTCACCTGAATGTGAGAGTCCATAGCTCCATTTCCGTCCAAATTGAGGTCCAGCGGGGCTTGTCCCAAGGATCTGTACTGGGGCTACGTTTATTCCTAACATTCGTTAAAGATCATTTCAGTGTAGTGCAGTCGAATTGCTTACTATGTGCAGGTGGTGTCAAAATTTGGCGTGATATCAGGATAATGGATGATCACAAGGCGTTGCATAGCGATCTCGACAGGGCTTATGCGTGATCATCTGATAACCGGCTCCAGTTCAACCTGGCGAAGTGGAAACTCGTAAGCATATGCTATTAGCTTCTCTGTGAATATCGACTTGGGGACCAAAAGTTATAACATGTTCCCCAAGAAAATGACCTCGGAGTGATCGTGCAGTACCATCTTGACTACTCGAGCCAGGCTAAAAGCACATCACAAAGAGCCAGTCAACATCTTGGACTCTTACCGAGGGCTTTCTGAAATGTTGTGCCATCAATCTTTCTACAAATGTGGAGCGCCAACTTGAGGCCCCACGCTGAATATCTGATCCAGACCTGGCTTCCCTGGCACAAACGCGACATTAATGCACTTGAAGCTCCACAATAGACAGCGACCAAACTCGTTAGAGAATTGTTTCAGCTCTCCTACCAACACCGTTTGCAGTCCCTGTGATTGTACAGTGATGAATGTCGACGTCAGCGAGGAGACTTAATCATGGTTTAGTTATTACTGACGAACCCAACGCACCCAAGTCGCAGTCCTTCCAGCTGAGGCAAAATACTAAACTGAGAGGCCATCAGGCGAAACTGGTTACGCACTACAGCCGGCTTGATTGTCGACGAAACGTTTTCTCCCTTCGTGTGTCTCGTACCTGGAACGCCCTTCCGACTCAAGTTATCCTTGCCCTGACATTAACGCTTTTCAAAAACCTCTTGATGACACGCTTTCCAACTTGCATTATTTGATATAGTCCGTTTCACTCGGAGGACGAAATAATGCAAACCAAACCATGTGCTTAACGGCCGAATTTAAAACGTGGTGGTGAGGATACATGCAGAAGTGACTTTGTGAGCAGCCTGGATGTCTCTAAACTGGATAAACAAACCACATCTGTCAAAGAAAAAAAACAAACGAGTGGGCGTTGTCGTTTTCTTTTTTCTTTCCCACACAATCACTGAACCATGACAGCTCTCTATACTGTTTCTTGTGTGCGCATCCCACTCCCATTTCAAACTATCGTTATGTAGTGGTGCATTTAAATCGGTAGACACTTAAAATAACCAGGTACGTAATCGATGCTCGTTTACATTTTAATTGTTGCCAAACCATCCTACAAGACTTGACAAGTACATGCTTTTTTACCCGTGATAAATCATTGTTCATTGTTCAATAAATGCACGATCAACTCGGGCTTTGAACTCTGCTAACGTGGGAGCACATATAACGGATTTCGATAGGGTACCCCAATTTCTGCAAACATGTACCGAAAAGAAATTCCGACGGCATTCCAAGCGATTGTGCTGCTGTAGCAGCTTGAGATCCTGGTCTCTCAAATTGTTGTTGTGACTGAGCTCTAGCATGTAGCGGCACGTGTGGTCGCCATCTCCCAAAATCTGGTCATTTAATATGAGGTCCCCTCGCAATCGCCGATACTGTCTACTGAAGACCCCGATCACTTGTAGCCTTCGTTCTTACAGCAGATTATACAGACCCTAGAAACAGTTGGTTGTCCGGCGTTGGGATATCTCCAAGGCGGTGAGATCTCTCCTCAGCCATGGTTGCCAGACCTGTATTGCTTATTTCAAATGTAGACGTACGTATGAGGCGAGAATCTAAGGAAAAATCGAATGGTCGTATCGTCCGAATGCACTCTTCAGGAGACCCATGTGTTTGATGCCGCGCCTTGACACCGTTTCAATCTGATTCAAGCATCCAAGGTTGACGTGGAAGGAAACTCCTAGCTCCTTCTCGTCAGGAAACCTTTGAAGATCCTGGTTGCCGAGTTTGTAGGATGGTGCACGAAGACATTCATCTTGACTACTCCTTTTCCTCTTTTGGGCTTCGTACTCAAGTCCCACCACTTCTTTGTTCTTTGTTTGAGCCATAAACCACTGACGCTCTTGTCTTGGATAGTAGTTGCACCTAGTTGTTTTATCCCCACCATTTTCTGACTGCCTGGGTTGGACAGTGGTTGCAAGAGCCTCATTCTTCTTCTAAATCCAAGTACTTGTACAGTGAAACCTCCAAAGTTGATCACCTCTATATGTTGACCACCTCTCTAGGTTGACCGTACTTTTATATTTTGAACGGTCACTATGTAAACCCTATGTAACCAGACCCTAGTATGTTGACTACCCCTGTAACTTGTTTGTTGACCACTTGTGTCATGACAGTTAGTAATAATTCAACATCCATAAGTTGACCATTTGAGGACTTACCATCCAATGATTTCCGAATAGCTCGTTTGATCCGACAACACGGCTTACAGCGGGATTGCAACGTATGGACTTCCGACCCACAAACTTTACGTTTGAGGATACAGTGTGTTCTCTGCGTATATGTTTATGTGCGTATTGGTCCCGACAGTCAGGGTTTACGCGCACGCGTATTACCCGGATCCATGTTGTTCCCCACAGATCCATGCCCACGGAATGACCTAGAACGATGTATTTTCAACCTCCATCCCCTTTCCACACACACCAGCACGCCTACGTCTACCATTAAGCACATATGTCCACTCCTCGCACAGGCCAAAATCCGGGAGTTTGAGTGACTGTCAAACCCTCGATTAACCACCAAGTGTAAGCACCGGTTAATTAGCACCTTGGATTTTTGCCAGATTGACGCGTACGCCCACATAAATTGTCGAGCGCAGATGTCAGGGTTGGGAGGTGCAACTCCGAACCACTTCCAATTTGGATACGGTCTTTGTGATCCTAATGACTGAGGTCTACTTCAAAGTGAACAGAGGTCTGAGTAGAGATTGTGTGTCGCAATCCAACCACACAGCTGCTACTACATATTCAACTTTGAATTACTTACTGCTGTGCCAAGGTTTGCTCACGGATCTTAGGACCATAGTGATCAAGGCGTCAGCCTGTAACCACTAGGCTCCGATTTCTATCCCAGCTCAGGCAATCTTCATCTGACTAGTTCAAACGAGGACGAAGCCGGTTATGGGGTGTCAAGCTTGGGAGGAGCAACACCGACCAACCTTAAAATTGTCGAGCGTTTATTCGGCTCTATTTGGTGTCGGCCTCAGGGTGAAACCAACTGATGTTTTTATTGTGTGCACTTGGTTACGTACATAGCACTGTAGACCTTAAATCCACTCAG